AAGAAGACTCTTTAACTTTCCGCAAGTCACCTATTCGAATGACTTGAATAGTGCCATGACAAGAAGGCACATTCCCTCATACTATCATAGGGAACTAATGGACAAACTTCAAAGACTCCAACAAAGAGACATGAGCATAAAAAGCTATAGGCAAAAGATAGAGCTCAACATGATGAAGGCAAGATTTAGAGAGAAGGAAGAGACCATAGTTTCTAGGTTTCTAAGTGGTCTCAACCTTGAAATTAGAGATAAAGTGAAATTGTTGTCCTACCAAGACTTAAATGACTTGGTACAAATTTGCATTAAGGTAAAGCAACAACTTTTGAGAAAAGTTTTGAAAACTATCCACTCTAGTTGTAATGTCAAGTGAGACATCAAGAAGGAGGGAAAACAAGTGAAAAAAGAGGAACCCCCTAGGAAGTTTGTGAAACCAAAAGAGGGATCAACATCCTCTAAGAGCACAAGTGGCATTAAGTGTTTTATGTGTCTAGGGAGAGGACATATTGCATCTCAATGCCCCACAAAAAGAACAATCATCTTAAGGGGTGTTTAGTAGTGAGAGTGAGAAAAAAGAGTGTACAAGTGAGAGTGAGGAAGAAAGTGAACGAAAAGATTCCTTTTGCTTGTGAGGGAGATCTTCTTATGATAAGAAAAATTCTCAAGAACCAATCTCATCCTCAAACCTTAACCCAAAGAAAGAACATCTTTCATACAAGATGTAAAATTTCCAATAAAACATGTTCTCTCATTGTGAATAGTGGGTCGTGTTACAATTGTTGTAGCACAAGGTTGGTAGAAAAGTTGAGCCTTACTATCAAACCCCACCCAAGACCTTATAAGCTTCAATGGCTCAATGAAGGAGGGGATTTAAGAGTAAACCAACAAATAGAGGTCAAGCTTGGTATAGGGAACTATAAAGATAAAATAATTTGTGAGATTACCAATGAGAAAATCATGCATAATGGCCTTACCAATGAGATTACCCTCCACCATAAGGAAAATAAGTTCATCCTCCATCCCTTACCTCCTTCCAAGGTGTTTGAGGTTAAAAAAATAAAAGAAAAAGAAGACAGATGAGGAAAAATAAGAGAGCGCATAGAAAAAAAAATTGAGACACTTAAGCTTCATTCCCCACCCTTCATTTTCGCACTCAGAGACCAAGAGTGGTGCTAATACTCATGTGTAATCGTATGAAGATTCTAGTAGAACCCTCTGTGGAGGAGACTAGACGTAGCTCAGCTGGAGCGAACCAGTATAAAAACACTTATGCAATTATCTCTTCTCTTATCCAAACGATCCTCTTACAAAAACCTGCACCTGTGCTTTACCTCTAAACACAAGAATCTTCCAACCTAAAACATTTAATTTTCATAAAGGAAGTTCTTACAAAACACTGCAGGATATATGTTTTGAATAGCATGTCAAAAACCATTATCGTTTATTCATATTTATCAAGTTGAGTGTCTAAGTTTTTAAAAGAAAATTCAAAAGCTCCATAACGTGCTATGTCTGAAGGATTGTAAAAAAAATTTCAGTAAGATTATTCAACCCTCCTCCCCCCTTCTAGTAATTTTCAGGTATTTCATCGATAGCGTTTACGGACATGCTATAACAAAGTACAACATTATTTGGAAACAAAGAAAGTGCCTCACACTTTTTTGTCAACAATACTCTCTGAAGATCATACCAATCTTGATTCAAATCAAATAGCGTGTATCATGTTGAATTTTGTAAGGACCAGCCCATCAATTACGATAAAAAGTTTGATTGCAGAGCTCAAAACTTATTTTAGGTATTTGTGTACTATAGGAAAGCATGGATAGCAAAACAAAAAGTGCTTGCAATGAAGTGTGGTGATTAGAAAAAATCATATAATGAACTTCTAAGGTAGTTACAAGCTGTCTAAGACACTAATCAAAGGACAATTTTCCAATGCACTGGTTCTCCTGTTAATGTTGATGGAGTCAGGAACACATCTTGCTATATTCTCAAATAAGTTTTTTGGTCGTTCAAAACATTCATTGAAGGCTTCAAATATTGTAAGCTCATTAAGTTGGTGGAACTTTTTAATAGGTAAATATCATGCAACTTTGTCCTTGAGTTTTATCAAAGGTATTTCATTTCTTTTTGTGTTTAAACTCTTAGATCCTTGGAAGTGTGACATCTTTCAATTTTCGCTTAATTTCATTATATATTTCCGTTTTCTTGTTGTAAACAATTTTACAAATTTCTTGTTTATTAGCATTCCAACCTAGATAGATTCGTAAAACAAATCCATGCTTCTGGATTCACATCACTTTGATCACTTTCAAGCAAATTGTCTCCCTTGTCTATTTGTGCATATTCTCATATACTGCTAATGGAATTTATTAATCATATTTTCAACCTCTACAACTTAAATAAGGCTTATCAAGTCCAATTTCATCCCCTATTAAATGAAGATTATTGGTTTATGTTTACTTGTCCAAATTTCATACTGTTTCGGTTACATTTGTTTGGGGTCGGTCGTCCTTCGTTGTTATGCTCCGATCGACCAACTCTTTAAGTAATCTTTCCCGATTGGTGGTTGACTTGTAGAAGACACTCCGACGCTCAAGTCAGATATGTTTCATAAAGAGATCTATATTTTATTAGTATAGAAGAAGATGATTGTACCTGACATCAGTTGTATTATTTATAGAGTTTGTGGCAGTCAAGTCCATTGATTAGTTAACAGTGCAGTACAATTTTAGGGAATCAAACCCAATAATCAATAATTAATATCATATATTTGTAGAGCGTAAGGTAATCTGACCTATTAATACCTGATAATTGCCCATGAATGACCATTAACTCCGATCGGTATATTTCATATAGTACAAACCCCCCAAGTCCGAGCAAGCTCTTTATTAAAAGAGGTGCATAGGGATTATTATGAACTTTAAAAGAGATCGCTCACGTTGCATTTAGGGAGTCTATCTTCGATGTTTTAAGTCTTCATTGCTCTATGTACCGAGCGACGAACTCTAGGAGTTCTCTTTGGATCTGTTTCTTAGACTGAATAGAAAATGCTAAGAGTTCTCTTTGAAACTTTTTCCTCTGCAAGAGATTTTCATTCCAAAAAATATGCTTTTAAATAAAGTAAACGCTTCAATATTTATTTTTATAATGAAAAGGCATTGGAACATGACAAAGCTGAACCTGTTAAGTAGTTGATTGATAAAAGTTCTTTTTCGAACTTCCTGCGTTGAGCGGGGATTTCTGAAGCCATTTCTCTGACTTTTCCCCGAGCGACTTGAGACAAGAGTCATTTTTCTAACTTCCTGCGTTGAGCGGGGATTTCTGAAGCTATTTTTCTGACTTCCCCTGAGCGGCTTGAGGCAGGAGTCATTTTTCTAACTTCCTGCTTTGAGCGGGGATTTCTGAAGCCATTTTTCTGACTTCCCCCTGAGCGGTCCTGAGGCAGGAGTAATTTTTCTTACTTCCTGCGTTGAGCAGGGATTTCTGAAACCATTTTTCTGACTTCCCCTCGAGCAGAGGCAGGAGTCATTTTTTTGACTTCCTACGTTGAGCGGAGATTTCTGAAGCCATTTTTCTGACTTTTCCCGAGAGGCAGGAGTCATTTTTCTGAGTTCTTGCGTTGAGCGGGGATTTCTGAAGCCATTTTTCTGACTCCCCCAAGCGGTCCTGAGGCAGAAGTCTTTTTTCTGAATTCCTGCATTGAGCGGAGATTTTTGAAGCCATTTTTTCTGACTTCCCCCCTGAGCGGTCCTGAGGCAGGAGTCATTTGTCTGACTTCCTGCGTTGAACGGGGATTTCTGAAGCCATTTTTCTGACTTCCCCCGAGCGGCTTGAGGCATGAGTCATTTTTCTGACTTCCCCTAGCGGCTTGAGGCAGGAGTCATTTTTCTGACTTCCTGCGTTGAGCGAGGATTTCTGAAGCCATTTTTTTGACTTCTCTTGCGCGGTCCTAAGGCAAAAGTCATTTTTCTGACTTCCTACGTTGAGCGGGGATTTCTGAAGCCATTTTTCTAACTTCCCCCTTGCGGTCTTGAGACAGGAGTCATTTTTCTGACTTCCTGCGTTGAGTGGGGATTCCTGAAGTCATTTTTCTGAGTTCCCCTGAGCAACGATTACAACCTGACCAAGTTGAGGTCTGAACCTTCCTGTACATAATATTTTATAATTTAAAATTAAGAGTCGTTAGAACCTTACAAGGTTGAACGCAGCTCTGAACCATCATGTGCATAATATTTATAAGTTAAGAGTTGGTAGAAATTAAGAGTTGGTAGAACCTGACGCACAGCTTTGTACCTTCGTGTGGAGGATATTTTTACTCACAAAAATATGAATTAAATAAATATAATAATTTGTAAATTATAATGAAAACTGGAGCGCGCGTCTGGTTCTTCGTGGCTTCATGGGGATGCCGCTCGGCCCCACGGTGGGCGCCAAAATGTTTCGGTTACATTTGTCTGGGGTCGGTGTCCTTCGTTGCCATGCTCCGATCGACCCACATTTCAAGTAATCTTTCCCGATTGATGGTTGACTCCGACGCTAAAGTCAGATATGTTTCATAGGTCTATATTATAGAGTTTGTGCAGTCAAGTCCATTCATTAGTTATCAATTTAGAGAATCAAACCCAATAATCAATAATTAATACAGTATATTTATAGAGCGATCTGACCTATTAATACTTAATAATTACCCATAAATAACCATTAACTATGATAATATATTTCATATGGTAAATATACTAAATCCTATATTAGGTCGAGAAGATCAACTACTACTCAAATTCATATTCATTTTAAGTAGTAGTTGGTACATATTCATACAGAAGATTATTACATCAACCCATTTCGAATACACCAAAAAAATGTTTTATTATCGCAATGAAAAGGAATAACTTTTACACATCTATATTGTTCATTATTTTGTATTATTAATTTACTAATAAATCGAGTTTAAAATATTGAAAGAGGAAGGAAACAACATATAATAATGATACCATAAAATCGAATCACTTACACCTCTTTGATTTCCCCCGAAATGAATTGATGAATAAAAAACAAAAAAAAAACAACCTAGGAAACACGCGCACCCACCCACACGCATCTATCCACGTTGATTTGTCGAGGGAAAAAGAAAGAAAGAAGCGAACGAACAGAAACAAAATTTTGAGACCAAAAGTTTTGAACAAAAAAAAAAACCTTTTTTGATTCGATGGGTCGATTATGTTCATTCATTTATGTGTTCCCTGTCATCATGATCTTAAACTCCTCGAAATTTATCATGCCGTTGCCGTCACCGTCGACGCCGGCGATCATTCTGCGGCACTCGTCGATGGAGCACTCATCGCCGAGGCTCGCCATGACCATGTGGAGCTCCTCCGCGGTGATGGAGCCGTTGCCGTCGATGTCGAAAATGGAGAAAGCTTCTTTGAGATTCTCAAGGACCTCGTCGGAGTCCACACCCTTGGTGTTTAACTCGATGAACTCCTGCAAATTGATGTGCCCATCGCCGTCGCAATCAACGTCTTGGATCATTCTGAAAACCTCCTCTTCGGTGGCATGTTGGCCGAGGCACTTCATCATGGACCCCAGTTCCGACGACGAGATTCTCCCGTCCCCGTTTGCATCGAACTTTCTGAAGACATATTCCAACTCCACCGTGATGGGGGCACGTGAATGATTTTGCAGCAGTGACAATGATGACGGTGGTTGCGGTAGCGGCGATGAAAGCAGTGACATGGATAACGATGNCTAGGAAACACGCGCACCCACCCACACGCATCTATCCACGTTGATTTGTCGAGGGAAAAAGAAAGAAAGAAGCGAACGAACAGAAACAAAATTTTGAGACCAAAAGTTTTGAACAAAAAAAAAAACCTTTTTTGATTCGATGGGTCGATTATGTTCATTCATTTATGTGTTCCCTGTCATCATGATCTTAAACTCCTCGAAATTTATCATGCCGTTGCCGTCACCGTCGACGCCGGCGATCATTCTGCGGCACTCGTCGATGGAGCACTCATCGCCGAGGCTCGCCATGACCATGTGGAGCTCCTCCGCGGTGATGGAGCCGTTGCCGTCGATGTCGAAAATGGAGAAAGCTTCTTTGAGATTCTCAAGGACCTCGTCGGAGTCCACACCCTTGGTGTTTAACTCGATGAACTCCTGCAAATTGATGTGCCCATCGCCGTCGCAATCAACGTCTTGGATCATTCTGAAAACCTCCTCTTCGGTGGCATGTTGGCCGAGGCACTTCATCATGGACCCCAGTTCCGACGACGAGATTCTCCCGTCCCCGTTTGCATCGAACTTTCTGAAGACATATTCCAACTCCACCGTGATGGGGGCACGTGAATGATTTTGCAGCAGTGACAATGATGACGGTGGTTGCGGTAGCGGCGATGAAAGCAGTGACATGGATAACGATGATTTGGACGATGACGATGACGACTTTGACAAGGTTGTCTTGGGCAGTTTTTTCTTCTTGCCGAAGAGAGATCTGAGGCCCATGATGTTTTTTTTTGGACGCGTGGTGGAAACAAACGTCGAAGAAAATCAGAGAAAGAACTCCTTCTTGTGCAGAGAGGAGAAACTGTGAATGTTATTATTGGAAAGCAAAGAGGAGTGGCTAGTGTTTGTTTTTCTATATTAACAACCATTTATGCGTCAATCCAGCTTTTTCAGGAACAGGGTTGTTAGGTCAACACTACGTTTATCATCGTTATTTCTTCTAGCGTCATCATTTTTTACCTCTTTTTTTATTTTTTTTTATTTCAAACATTTTAAATATTCATTCTTTTCTTCTTTTATATCTAAATAAATAGTTTTCCTAATTTGGATAATACCCTAAAAGTATATTTTCAACTGGGTAGCAGTTAGGGAAGTCTCAAAGTATATATAATTTCTGTTCATTCATTCCTCACTCTAATTTTAGTATCTCAAGTGGAGATTAATTATTTCTGATTTTTGTTTAGCTTTATTATAAATTTGATATTTTAAACTTAGCTTTTGTTTAAAATTTTTCTTATGTTAAATGTTTAACTTTGTTTTTTTTTTAATTTTTAACATTTAGAAGTTAGAAACAAAAAGACAATTATAAAAAAAATTAATATTCAATAAAAAAATGTTATTTAAAGTACGTAAATTTATAAAGTAAATAAAGCATAATTAAGTTTTTCTTTTCTGATACAACATTAAATTCTTTCTTTTATATATTTTAACAAAGGCTTCCTTTGGGTTACAATGAAATTGGTGGTCAATTCTTATTACGTTTTACTTCTAAATGCTGTTATGATTATTTGTAAGAAAATTAATTTCAGTTACAATCAATAAAATTAAAGTTAAAAGAATTAATGTAATTTTAAATGTAATGACTGAAAACATAAAAAAGTTAAAAAATAAGCGTAACATAATTAGCTACTTGTCTAAATCTTATTTTTTTTCCTTTCACTTCAAAAATGTCCAATTTTATGAGGATTTTTCTTTTTACATTACGGACTATTTTAATTTCATTTAAATACATTTGAAAACCGTTGTGAAAAACAACACCGATAATAATTACCAGTGATATTTTAAAAAATTACTACTATTTTTTAAAGTTTTCAAAATCATTGACATTTGCAGAGGTGAAACCATTGGTAATTACTGAGATTTTCAAAACTTATAGGGATTTTTACAAAATCATCGATAGTTACTGAAAGTTTCCAAATCTTTCGATACTTCCAGGAATTTTCACAAAATCATTGGTATTGGAAATCATTTTTTTTATGTTACAAAAATTATTTAATTACCATAAAAAATCTTTAATATCATCTTTATAATATATATGTATACAATAATAATGAAATATGATCTGATTACAAAGAATATAATCTATATATGATATATGTATACAGTAATAATGAAAATAATAAAACATTACAAAGAATATGATCTATATATGCTATATGTATACAATAATAATGCAAATAATAAAAAAATTCAAACAATTATCAACCTAAGTGGCACGTGACAATAGAATTGATTTTTGAGAAATGAGTGACGTATTTCAAGAACATACAAGTCTGCTGCAATTAAAGCTTGAAGGGCAATCTTCTGAGCCACTTCTCTCTGCTACACAACTTCCTGCCAAGTAAAAACAAAGTTTTATTCGACCAGGCAATAATATTTAGAAAATATTTTTTAATAATATTTTAACACTATTTATGTCATATTATTGATCTAAAATTATTTTATAATCAATAATAATAATTATAAACGTCAATATAAATTAATCACAAGTGTTAAAGTGTTAAAATATTATCAAATTGTCAAATTATCATTATTCTAAATCAAAAGTAAAAAAAATAAATATAATTTATTCTACTTTAAACTCTCCAAAGTTAACATTACTTACTCCGTCTGTTTCTCACGTTTAATCATCATTTCAACAAGATTTGGTTCATATAGATATTTATGTGATTCATTTAAATATGTATAATTAGATTTCAGAATTGAAATTAGAAAATAGATGCACTAGGCTTTAGAATGCTTTGAAGAAGGAATGGAACATAGCCTCACGCTTCTTTAATTCTGAAGTAGAATGCAAGCTTAATCAAGCCATCAAAGATAAACATCTTGACAAATCTCTCACACCTAAATTAGATTCAAAAACCAGATTTAGAATCAGATTTGCAACACAATTTTACTACAAGTTTATAGAGGTTTTGCTTCAATTTTTCTTTGGTTCTATCCTATTATCTTATGATACTTCAGGAGCTGATTTCTTATTCAGAATTCAAAGATGAAGGGTGTCATTCTTTTCATTAACATACTGGAAAACACATATACCATCAAGGAAAGAAAATAGAATAAAACTTAATTTAATTATATTAAATTAAGTTATTTTAATAAAAGAAAATATTTTTGTTTTATATAAATGATTTAAATACGAGGAATCTTTAACTAAAAATAATAATATATATAATTTTATTAATAACTATTATAAGGAATTATGATTTTATATATCTTACTACTAAATATTAATAAAATAGTATAGTTCAAAATGAAATTTAAAATATTTAAGTATTTATAAATATTAAAATATAAATTCAGAATGAGTGAGATATTTATAAAACTCTAATCTATTATTGACCACAATTATCTTTTTTGTTCAATTTTATTTATCTAAGATAATCCAATTTATAATAAGAAAAAGTATGCTCAAATTTATTTAGGATTTTTTCTGTCCAGCCAGCCTTACTGGTAGGTTTCGTGGAAAATGGACAGTGAAAGCAGCTTAGTGAAGAAGCAAATGCAATTTTGATGAAGCGAATAGCCAGAAGAGGACAAGGAAGATAGACATTGATAATGGAGGATGAATGTGCTTACTATATAAACAAAAAAACACTCACAGTCACATGCATTTTCTGTGCAACACGACCCCACCATTCCACCACCAAACAAATAAATACCAAATAATACTAAAAATCCGTGTCTTTGCCAACTTCTCGTCTCTTCAAAACTTAGATACTCCCTCTTCTCTTCTCTTCTCTTCTTCATTCAAGTTTGCTTCTTTATCTAAATCTATCTATTTTGGTTCACCCCATAAAGTGCAACACATCACAACGCAACGAGGTTGAGAAGAAGTGAAAGTTGAATCCTGGGTGGTGCAGGTGGAGGAGGAGGAGGAGGAGTATATTATGGACACCAAGGCGATGACTTTCATAACCCACCAAGCCATTTTCAACGCGGTTCGATGTGGGGACCTTCAAGGGCTGAAGGAACAGCTGAAGAATTGCAAGGGTGAGGGCACGTCAGAAGGGGTGATTTCGGAGTTGATGACTATGCAGAACGATGCAGGGGAAACTTTGTTGTATATAGCTGCTGAGATTGGTCATCGTGAGGTGTTCAGCTTCTTGCTTGGTTTGTGTGACTTGGAGGTGCTGAAGATCAGGGCCAACTCTGACATGAACGCCTTTCACGTCGCTGCCAAACGTGGCCATCTGGGTAGGTTTTTCCTTCTGGTTCTTTAGTTTCGATTTCTACCTTTTGGCTTTTAAATTGGGTTTGTGTCATTTCTTGGATTTGGTTATGGATTTTGCTGTTGAAGGATTGTTGAATCAATTCACTGTAAACCCTTTTAAAAAAGAATGAGATTGGTAGTTTTGTTAGATGGTATCAATGCATTTAGCTCTCTTGGTTCGCAGCTTTTGATGTTAGAGGGAATTCAAAAGGGTTGAAATCTATAGTTTGTATTTTGATAAATCTGTGAACAGCACCCTAATCCCAATATGATAGCACTTATTCCCAATAATCAATTTTGATTGGGGAATTTTCTGAACAAACATGGTAATTGTAGCCTTCTAATGTAAAGATTCCCAGGGATGAAAAATAAGTACATCACTAGCATCATCCTAGGGCTTCATAAAGGTTTTGTCAGACTTATTTATCCAAAATAAGGCAAACCATTCTCAAATGTTGCGAATTGGAGTGTTTAAGAATTTGCTTTTCAGCTTCCATACATAACGTCATGGTATACACCCTCCAGACCTCATATTCCACCTTCTAGGATCCATTTTTTCTTTCTTTCCTTTTTCAACATATCAACTTGAAATATCAAATATTATACTAGAACTATGAATTGCTACATATATGCCTTATTTGATATTGATTTTATTTTCTCTTTTGTTATACTTTTAAATTGATCAAGTTCACCATGAGTGTCATTGGTCAAATTATAGCACATCCTCTAAAATTTCAGGATAGTATCTGTAGTGTGTTACTAAACGTTTTACCACTATCAAATTCCTCGCTACAATTTCTGTTATAGTATTTATAGGTCCTAAAATGGAAAGAAAACCTATGTTGGGAGGTCTCCATCTTTGACACTGAGATTAGTGTCTCATTTATGAGTGCAAGGTACTGAGGGAAACAAAAAAAAAGTACAAAAATTGAGACAAAGGGAGAATTATCACATTGCAATTTACTTCCCTGCCATGTTGATGAAAATAAGGATTTCAATTCTGATATATTTGAGTCTGAATCTTTGTCCAGATATTGTAAAAGACATTTTGAGTACCTGGCCTGAGGTTTGTAAGATATGCAACTCCTCTAACACTAGTGCCCTATATTTGGCTGCTGTTCAAGATCATTTGGATGTAGTGAATGCAATATTGGATGTTGATGTGAGTTCAATGATGATAGTAAGGAAAAATGGCAAAACTGCACTACATAATGCTGCTAGGTATGGCATCCTTCGCATTGTAAACGCACTGATTACCCGTGATTCTGGAATAGTCTGCATCAAAGATAAAAAGGGTCAAACTGCACTGCATATGGCTGTGAAAGGACAAAGTACTTCAGTTGTGGAAGAGATATTACAAGCAGACCTTACGATATTAAATGAACGAGATAAGAAGGGAAACACTGCTCTTCACATGGCTACCAGGAAAGTGCGTTCACAGGTCAGTTGAACCATAGCTGATTTCCATTATTCCAAGCTTTCTTCAGTTTTAGTATAAATTGGTCCGTCCAATCTTGCGTTGTTATGATTATGTTAGCTTCTTAGTTTTCTTGACCATAAACAATATGAGGTCGCAGTGCTGTCTTGCACACTATGTATTCTTGCATTTGGTCATTATTCTTGAGCATAAATGCTCAGTTTGACGTATGCTGATATTTGTCGGTATCAAGCATTTTTCAAACCGTAAACTACCTGATACTTGTATTCAAAATTTGT